ATGGATATACATTCATGTCAAGCAAACAAGAAAAAAGAAGTACAACAACCACAACTAAGAACACCTTCATGAGACATGTAACAATATTCAAAAACGGAGAAGATTAAGCCTAATCAATCACTAAACAGAACCAAAAACTGACAAAAAAATTTACCAAGATAATAGTGATCATGGATTCCCTGATTTCCTGTGTGAGTTTGACAATCCTTGAGTATTTTTTATGCTTTGCATGCATTTCTGTTGTCACTGGAAGCATGATCCTTAAATCAGGGGATCATCTAAATTAATAACCACGAAGTACTCCAAATTGCTGGGAGATCATGTGCCGTAATTTCTTGACATGGAAAATTTAATGCATTGACTGATCGATGGAACTTCTTGCTTCAGCTTAATTGTTTTGAATACCAATGGAACTTGTTACAAACCAAGAAGAATATAATAAACTAGTGTAATAGGTAGTGCAATCAACATCCCGAATATGACCCTGAAAAGTCCCAATAAAAACCAATCACAAGATTTAGTCAAAACGATTCAGCAAGAAGAAACTACTACTCACTCCTATTCTTTTTAAATTTCGTTTCGTGTTTTGATACATATATTAAGAAATTTTTTCTTGTCAATATTATCCTTATTTAAATCAAATTAACATTAATTTTTCTCCCAAAACGTGTAGTATATTAATTAAATGAGAATAACAATGAAATAATATATACAAAAGATTCAAGACGTCATTTATTTAATTAATGATCAATAACGCCAAAATGACAAATAAAAAGAGACTATATATTAAGTGGGTATTAATGATCTTGGAAACAGTAGGACCCTTTTTATAATTTGATAAAACACTAAAAGGTTCCTTATTGTAATTTCAAAAATACATCGAAAGGGTATCTTTGTAAATATCCAATAATTGAAGGCAAGCCACGAGTAGAGATTTTCTTACCCAGTGCTAAGAATGGCTGGATGAACATTGTACTCTTTCGCAAAAACAAAGGGGACAATCCCTTGTGGGAGCGCGGCCTGTGGCATATGAACGTGTTAGACAAAGGCAAAACATTTGCAGCACAGAATGTTTCTTAGACTTTATCTCCACAAAACAATGAACTGGCATGGATGAACTTAAATACTGTATATAGAAGACAACGCATGCGGCATATATATCCTTGAGTTTCACATAATCTACATATATTATTATAAAAAATATATATGAATATAATAGTTGTACATTTTTTTTCTTTTTTAATTATAAAATTATTGTTGAGCTGGGTTGAACAATATCACTTTTCATGTTTATAATTATTTTGTAGGAAAAATTTCAATTTTGGTCCGTTTACTTATCTAAAGTTCTTTTTTGGTACACGAACTTTGTCCTTATAAAAAATAGTAAGTTATGTTGGAATTTGTATCAGTTTTAGGACATCACTCATCAAATACATTATGTTGCAATTTGTACCATTTTTAGGACATTAATCCCAAATAATTATGAACCATTTTTGAGATAATGTCCCAACAGTGATACAAATTGCAATATAATGTACTATTATTGATGGGAGAAAGTTGGTGTACCAAAAAAGAAAAAATTTAGGCAAGTAAACGGATCAAAATTGAATTTTTGCCTATTTTGTATTTTATTTTTTAAAATAAAAATAAGTGTAACCTGCACAATTGCAACGTGAAGAAGAGTGCCACGTAGGCCAACAGCAATGGAGGCAGCAGCCATAACTGCAGGGCCAGTGAGGAACCTGACGCCCATGGCAAAAGAAGCCACAGTGTTCCCACATGCGATTATCTTAGGCTGAAGAGCCATAAACAAGCCTGCCAATACATACAGGAATAATCAAAATCAATCAAAGACCTTCGTAACAAGACTAATAAATTAAAACCCTTAACAACTAACCACCATGCTTTGCTATTTAAGTACCAACCCTTGTACAACATCATCAACTCTCTCCCCTGGCCCTTTATGTACAAGTCTATTTATTGTATTTATTGCTTGATGATAACATATTGTATTATTTTAATTTAGCTATTACATTGAATGGTCACAATTTTTAGCACCAAAAAAATATATATTTTTTTCTTCTTCTTTATTTTTTCAATTTAAATTAAAAAAAAAAAAGGAAAGACAGAGTTGTTCAACGTGAGAACTAATTACCCAAGCTAAACATAGCCATTCCAAGGCCAGCATCAGATAGTATTTTAATTGATTCTTCAAGAATTTTAGGCATATGCACATTCCACCTGAACAAAGTCAAAAAACATAACATTGTTAATGTTGACAGATATTTCCTTATCCACAAACAAACAGTTAATCCTCCTTATAAATTCCTTCATATATTCCTACCTGTAGGAGACCAATGACCAAATTAGCCCAATGAGGCTGGAGTATGTGTTGGGGTTGCGGATAAGCTTACGCCAAACCATAATCAAGATGAGGCGCGTCATCACGCTGGCTGGCGGCATGTTCTTTCCCGGGCCCACTTCATGTCCTCCGGCCGCCTTCTGGTCGAGATCGTCCGTCGAGTTTGGGCCCAGTTTGGACAGCCCATTTGCTCCTTCCTTGTCCTTTTCCTCATTCCCATGTTCTTTTCCTGCTCCGCCAAAGCTGAACTCATCTCCACCGTGGTCCCCTGTTTGTTCAACACCTTTAT